AAATTAAATCTTAAGAAATACATAACATTAAATATTTTGATTAAAATATATGTTACATATGTTAAACAGCTCTGCAAAATTCAGATTCCAGACAGAATGAAAGCTGCTAAATCGGTTGACCTCAAAACAGATGATTGGATTAACAGATTTCTTTAGATTCCTTTGGTGGACCTAATGTACCCATAACATCCTGAAATAGACAGAGGGAAGCAAAACACGAGAGCTACAGCGATGACATTATGAGGAAGACCTGACCAGGTATCACTTGCTTTGCAAACAGACGGACATGAGTCCAGGTGCACATATACTTCAGAAGCTAGAAAAGCCAAGGAGACACATTTCTTCCTAGAGCCTCCAGAAAGCAAAGCAGTGCCGGCAGACATCTTGATTTCAGCCCGATGCCATCAATTCCATAATTCCAGGTGTCAAGTACCTCCATTTGTGTTCATCTGTGACAGTAGCTGTAAGAATGCTACAAAGGCACTGTCACAATACACAGGGCTAACTCCTCCACGTCCTTAAAGTACAGGCTGGATCAGCTCAAATGGCCCCCACGGCTGGGCCTCTGCCACCCGCATGAGAGATCCAGATGTAGCTCTTGGATCCTGGCTTGGGTCTGCCCGCTCCAGACAGTGGGATTCAGTGGATGGAAGATCTCTGTCTCTCCTGCTCTCTGTTCAACTCTGACATTAAAGTAAGTAAATAAATGAATCCTTTACACACACACATGCTTGCTGGGTATTTACCCAACTGGTTTATGCTACTGTTTTACATGAGAAGTTTTCCTATTTGTAGATACTAGTGATTAGATAGTCTAGATAAATTGTAAAACTCTATGACTTAAGATGGAAGAGATAAATAAAAATCTTATACCAAAACCAATTTAATGTATAACACAAAAGCATCTTAAGATGTTGAAGAGACAAAAAACTACAGTGAATGAAGTCATTGAACAGATACTAGCAACTGTTCCAATTGCACTTTTATTCAAAATTGAGACAGGATGGTTTAGCAAGTTCAAGTCAACACAACTCTTTAAACATCAAGGTGTGAATGGGTCACTGTGAGCTATAGTCTTACATCACAGCACTCGCCCCTGCCGGCACCCTGTTCCCCCTCTGAAACGCAGCACTTGCCATTGATTCTGTCCTGAACTTCAGGGATGTACCTGGTCCTAGACACTGCACGTGACCCCTGAAACTTGGGAACCGGTTCTGTGGAACCAACAGTAAATCCTTAAAACTACATTGCCCTAAGCATTCACCTTAGACAAGCTGTCATAGGCACTATGAACAAATCTCTAAGGTAACTGACAGCCCCTCGGCTGAAGGCGGTAGAAGGGCTTGCACGACTAGGTAAGCACTTTTTCTTACACAGCACAAAACCTCTCGCCTGAGCTGCCAAGAGATGGGAAAATCTGCCACTCCATTGTCTACTTCAGCACGTGAAGTTCTTTTGACAGGAAGAGATAATTTTGATTTGTTTTACTCCTGGAGGAAATTTGGTGCCCTCTGGTGTTGGAAAACAAGACGATCCATTGCACTTTTCAGAAACAATGACTTCGGAGAGGATCCTAAATGCATCAAAATTAAGAGCTCAATTGCGTATTCTAGTGGAGCACAGACACATAATTATTTTTTAGTGGAGTGTTTCGGTAATGGGTTATTAAGAATTCAAGTTTTATTCTGTTAGAAAAGCATTGTTTAAATGTTGAATATCTTAGATAAAAGAATACTTATATCCAAGTACAGGATTCCAGGCATCTCCCGTGTTGGCAGACACGGGGAAGCTGCTTTCCTGGGGTTTCAAACACTTGTCGGAAAAGATTTACATGGGACAAGCTTCAGGAGATTTGAACTGGACACTGAAGTGCTGCCAAAAAGTAACTGATTCAAAACATCTGGAAGGGTAGGAATGGAGCAAAAATGGCAAAAAAGAAAAGAGAACAGATGGGCAGTCCGTGTTGGTTAAGGTGGCAAGTACATGAAACTGAAGGTAGAGATTAAGAAACCTCGGGACACAAGGCACCAGCTGATGCCATTCGCCAGCCACACTGTGCACCAAGCGCAGACCTGCAGGGTAAACTCCCTTTGTCTGTGTCACTCTGTAACTCGCTCACTGACGGTTCGGATGTCCCCAGCCCCGACCAAGTCAACACCACACATGCCCTGGTGTCTTAGTGCATCGGTAAACTAGAGCAGCATACTTGAGACTGCAATGTTCAGTGAGGGGGGAAAAAAAAAAAGACTCATTTTCTCACAGTCCTGGAGGCCGGGAGGTCCCAGAACAAGAGGCGCTACACTTGGTCTGAGGAGACGCTTCCCGTTGCTTTACTCCATAGAAGAAGGTAGATGGGAAAGAAAGCAAACTACCCAAATGTCACCATGAAGGTGGCATCAACAAGGAGAGATGTTGTGAGCAGCTTAGACACACACACATGTATAGTTTGCTCTATGATACAGATCTACACACACATCCCTTTCCAGGCCTCTCCCTTTGTGCCTCCCCACACCTCCCTCTTGCTGTTGGTGCCCAAGTTATTACAATGGCATAGTCATTCATTTCACCATTACAGGCTTCACTTTATGACCTGTAGATGTGCATAATTAAAATAACAATGGGAATCTACTATTATTTGGGAATAAAGACACACACTATGCTCATCCATTATTTCCCAGCATGCTCATCCCCTTGCAGGGTTTACAGGTTGTATTTATTTGTTTGTTTTAGAGAGAGAGAGAGAGTGTGTGTGTGTGTGTGAGCACACGCATGTTCTGTGCTCTGTACTAAGTGTCGTGTATCATAGAGAACAAATGATATTTGTCTTTTGAGGCCTTGCTCATTCCACTAAGAATAAAGGTTTCCAGCTAAGTGCATTTTGTTACAAACAGTAAGATTCATTCCTTTTGTGGCTAAGCAATATTCCATGGAGTAAATAAATGAACATTAACTCTGAGATGAAATGATCATATACATTGAAGATCAATCACTTGACAAATTTCAAGTTTCGTGTAGGGCAAAAATCATAAGCCAACTAGGAACAAAAGGAAACTTCCTCAACTGCGCCCTTCACAGTGCCAGCGCCTGTCGGACAGTTCGTTTCAATCCTAGCTGTTCCGCTTCAGATCCAATTCCCTGCTCATGGGCTGGGGAGGAAACAGAAGCTGGCCCAGGTACTGGGGACACTGCCACCCAGGGTGGAGGTCCTGGATCCTGTGTCTGACCCTGCTAAGTCCCAGTGGATACACCCAGGTAGGGATTGAATCAGCAGTTGAAAAAATTCCTTTCTCTCTTCGTTTCTTCACTCCTGCTTTCTTGCTCTCACTCTCATTCTGTCACATGGCCTTTCAAATAAGTCTTGAAAATTAAAAAAAAAAAAAAAGAAAAGAACATATCTAGAAGAAGCCGCAATTAACAACATATTCATTGATGTTTCCTTAATGGCATCAGGAAAAACTCAAGGAGTATTGGCACTCTTACTCGCTCTGCCCTAGGATCCCAGCCAGCACCACACAAGTGAAAAAAAAAAATAATAACTCCATGTTGGAAAGGAAGAAAACCTTTTTAAAAAACCTACTGTCACTAAGAACTGACAACCCAAAGATTGCAGCATTCAAGATGAACGGATAAGTATCAACTGCATTTCTGTAAAGTATAAGAATTGGAAATTTAAATAAAACAGCATTGTTTATGAAGAGCAAAACAATGTCAAAATTGTCAAAACTTAGACATCAATCTGTCAAAAAAATGCCAACGATGTATAATGTCCGCATCACAAGATACAAAAGCAGTATGCTAAACACCGGAAACACCCAAGTGTAAGTCAATAAATTAAAAAAAAAAAAAAGAATTCACTCCAGAATACATACATTAAGTGTAAATCTAAATTAATAGTTGAATGCTCACAACTGAAAAATATTGATGAAATAAATCAAAGGCCTAAATTAAAACAATCATATTCAGGCTGAAAAAGTCAAGATAGTCAATATTTAAATTCTTCCCGGGTTAATTTATACATATTTAACGTAATTCCAACTAAAATCCCTATACAATTTTTTTGTACATTTAAAAAAGACTTACTCCAAATTTTATAGGAAAAGGAGGCAGAAGAGCTAAAATAATTTTTTTTAAAGACCAATAGTTTTGGAAGATTCTCAGTACCTTATTCCAGGAATTACTAAAAAGAAGCCACAAGAAACAAGACAAAATGCTGACACAGAGATGAACTAAACGGGAGTCCACACATCTACACACATTCCACCAATTGATTTTTGACGCAGTTCCAAGTCATTTTCCTGGAGAAGGGATAGTGTTGCTAAAACATGGTGCTAGGATAACTGAGGAACTCTGCAAACAGTGGACCTGGAAACAAACGTCACCACCAACTCTAAAACGAATCCAAAAACAAACCACAGTTTTAAACATGTCACTTCAATCGCTAATGGTATCGGAGCACACGCAATGAGAGCCTTCGTCATTTAGGATAAGATGGTTAGCAGGACACAAAAATTATGACCTGTTGAAAACAAACTGAAAAGGTGGACTTTACCAGACTTACACAGGTTTTTCTGCAGGAAAACAGTTAAGAGAATAAAAAGTCAAACTACAGACTGGGAGAAAATATTTACAAATCACACATCCAAGGCAAGATCTGTTTCCAAAAAAAAAAAAAAATAGAGAGAGAATTTTCAAAACCAATGAAAAAAAAAAAGATAGCTCCATTGAAATCTGAACCAATGCAGTGAAGAGATACTTCATTAAGGAATATGCAAGGATTAAAATTAAGCACAGGGAGGATGTTCACTTAGTCAAATACAGATTAAAGTCGCAGCGCAATACGTCTACATGCAGTGATGTTTATGACTAAGAAATACGGAGGATACCAGGTGCCTGAGCTCAAGGATGTACAGCAAGCTGAACCCCATGCATTGGTGCTGAATGTAAACAGGGTATATGGGAAACAATTTGATGGCTTCTTATTTAATTAAATATTCACTTACCATGTGATTTAGCAATCCCACTCCCGGGCATTTACCCTAAAGAAATAAAAAAAAAAATTCAGGTTCACAGAAGAAAATGTGCATTTGCATTTATCACAATTTGCTGCATAACTATGACAATGTGGAACAATACCTGCTTGCTTCCACGGACGAATGCATAAACTATGGCTCATTCACAGGATGCAAAATCACCCGACTATAAAGAAGGAACTGTGCAAGGGTACTCCGAACAGCTTCTGGAAAAACTGAATTAAAATGTTTTCTTGCTGAAAAGGTTGTTAAATTCACCTAGAGGTTTTCACAAAATGCATTTTCCACAAACTTTTTGAAGAATATTCAAGAACTTAGATGAATTTCATAAGTATTTTTTTTTTAATTTATGAGAGACAGAAAGAGAGAGACAGAGAGAATTCATGCCCCATCCACTGGTTGATGGACTGAACCCAAGTCTAAAGCTGGTTATTCCATCCCGTAATCCAACGTGGGAGCCAGGGCCAGGATCACTGGAACCCTCACTGTGGCTGCCCGGGGCCTGTGTTAGCAGGAAGCTGGAGTCCTGGCTCTCCAGGGAGTCACCCCTGGGACACAGATGTCCCCGACCTCTGCTGCCAAGCATAGCCCGACAGCAAGCAATGCAGGCTTATGGGAAATGTGTGTTTGTGTCTTCTTTCCTCTCCACTCAAAAAACAACAACAACAAAAAAAATTTTTAAAAAAGAAGCCACACTCTCATAAGATTTCATGTGATATAACTATAATTTTTCTAACACCATCATTGTACCAAAAATTAAATTTTAAGTGACAGAAAAGATCAAAAGTGGTTATCCTTGGATAAGGGGTGAAAAAAGGTGGGATGATGATGGTATGTAGCCTAAAAGGGTGCTGGGGGTGGGGAGAGGGGGTTGTGGGGGATTACTGAAATGTCCTGTGTCCCTGCTGTAGTAGTTTAGTCATTCCTTGCACCTACAAGCTTGTTTAAATTAGAGATGTGTGTAGGAATAAATGAATTTTACTGCATTGCAATTTAAAGGGGGTAAAGCTACACTGGCTAACAAGAAGTTTGCTGGCTAAATATAGGTCAGTATTATGTCTTTCCTCAAAGTAAAGGCTTAATTAACCTTGGCAAAACAAGGCTACTGGAAGCTAGTTGCATTTTCTGCTTCAATACTTGTCTTATTAACAATGCAAAGTTTCAAAACATGGAACTCATTCAGTGTCATGGACACTTTCTGTCAACAGTCCATGCCGCCGAAAGATGTCTAGCTTACAGGAAAAAATTCATTAGAAACTGCAATTCAAAGTAAAAAAAAAAAAAATCCATATTTCCCAAATAATTATTTTAAACATTAAAAAGTCATTAAAAGTAATAAATTTTACTTTATATTTTCTATGCTTATTCTCCTTCCAAAAAAAAGGGGGGGGGGGGTGAAGGGAAGAACAGGACCTGTATTTCAGTGTTACGGTAGCCCAGCAGATGCAACACCCATGTCAAGTACCAGCTGCTCCATTTAAGATCCAGCTTCCTGCTAAAACCAGTATTTGGGTCCCTTTCAAAATGTGATGGAAGCCTGAACTCCTGGCTCTAGCCTGGCTACAGCCATGGGGGTACGAGCCAGAGGACGGAAGGTCTCTCTCTCTCGCCCCCCCTCCTTCTCTCCTCTCTCTCTCTCTCTCTCTCTCTCTCTCTCTCTCTCTCGCTCTCTCTCTCTGGTCCAACCCACTACAGCAGCCAGTGGGGAATGAGCCAGAGATGGAAGGTCTCTCTCTCTTCCTCTCCATCTCTCCCACTTATTATCACTCTGGATTTAAAAAAAAAGAAAACCAAATCTTTTTTTTTTAAGTAACTTCTAAAAGTCATGGTGTACCAAATAAGTGTTGGAAAAATGTTTACAGAATTAATCTTCACTGACTATGGAATGAGCTGTACAGCTATACCATTAATTTATCACAGGTGTTAACTCCTCTTGGGACATTGTTTGCTTAAGACAATGAGACTTGGGCCCGGCGCCATGGCGCAGTGGTTAAGGTCCTCGCCTTGCACACCCTGGGATCCCATATGGGCACCGGTTCTATCCCGGCAGCCCCGCTTCCCTTCCAGCTCCCTGCCTGTGGCTCGGGAAAGCAGTTGAGGACGGCCCAAAGCTTTGGGACCCTGCACCCGCGTGAGAGCCCCGGAAGAGGCTCCTGGCTTCGGATTGGCATAGCATCGGCGGTTGCGCTCACTTGGGGAGTGAATCATCGGACAGAAGATCTTCCTTTCTGTCTCTCCTCTCTGTATATCCACCTTTCTAATAAAAATAAAATAAATCTTTAAAAAAAAAAAAGGTAATGAGACTGACATCTAAAGTTTTTGTTACTCTCTGAGCTGCACATACAACTAGCTCGGGAGAAGCCTGTGTTACTCTCATAATTATCCCTGCTGAGGAGTCACTGGGCGTGAGCTTGCTTGTCACAGATCCAGGACTTATCAACGGTTGCCGATGAGCTATGCAAATGAACCCAATCAAATGAATAACTTCATCTATACCAAAAAACAAACCAACAAAACAGACTTGACTTTGCTTGTATTGAAGCCTAAATCATGTAAAAAATACAAGCACTCCTACAGAGGAGAAAAGATGAATGGGACAGCTGAGGCTTTCCCAAGTTCCCAGTCCAAGAATTAAAACATCTGTAAAACTTCAAAGATGGTATCTTTACGTATAATAATACAGAGGAAAGTGGAATCTGCATACTTCTCTTCAGTTTCCACTTGCCAGAGGATTATTTAAGAGCCCTGTGCATGAAAGGATTTTAAGCTATTTCTGTGAATAATCTTGTCTGATACACCTAAGTTTACACAAATGTGATTAACATTTGGACTTGAAAGCTTCAACAAATCAAACAGCGAGCAGAGGCTCTTGATGTGACGCATACTCACTTTACATACTATAAACTTCGTGTCACACGATGCCATCTCGTGCACATGAGCCGAATTGAAATGCTCCTGTTGGCAATCGGTTAAAATATGATCAATAGTTTCCTATAATTCTAACTGGGCCATGTAATTGAAAGACAGGGAAAAAAGCAAACCACCTCCTCTAACTCAGGTGCTCCATGCAGAAATTTGACTTTATTGATTCTGTGACTTGGGACAACAGCCATTTTTGAGTTCACTTAATGAAGCTGCAACTACCTATATTTTATTTCCTTGATACGAATGGTCAATATACTGATTAATAAAAACTACTAACAGGGAAATCATAAAGGCAATTTAAAAAAAAAATGTTTGTGCTGAAATACAGCATTTCCCAACCCCCAGGTTTTCACAAATGCCCCTTCCATGGATTTGTTTTCCTCAGCACCTAACACTTACTGTTCAATCATTTCACAGAGCCCACTCTGAAGTACACCATGAGGGGTACACAATTATTTCAAACTACAGAAATACTTTCCTATAAAATTAAAGAAGTGGTACATGACTCTTCGAGTAATTTCCAAAATGGGGCACAGTTAATTATATGTGGATCATATGGACACATCATTAAATAATGTCTCTTGCAAATACCCATTTACTGTAAATGTCATTAAAAAAAAAAGAAAGAACTGTCACTTGGTAATATGCAGCCAAGAGAAATATTTTGTCCAACTTGGCCAGAAACAAATTCACTACAAAACAAATTTATATGGTGCAAATTTAAAATGCGTGGCAGACAAACCAGGCTCTTGAAATTAATATTCCCCTAAAATATCAGTTGAATTGGAAAAAAAAAGTATACAAAAAAAGACTTTTCTTATAGAAGAAACAAAAAGACAGAACTCTACCCAATCCATAAGTTCGCACGATAAAGTGTACTTAGGGAGTAATTTCACTTCCAAAATTATTCTAACCAAGTTTTGCAATACAGGTATTTAAGGTTAACTCCACTCCTCAAACCTCGGTATTTAAAATGTACAATTTTAGTAGACTCTTTTTAGGGAAACGCTACCTGCTTCTGCAGCCATCTTTCATGCCGTCGTTGTTTCCTCCTTAGATTCCTCAGCTTGCTCCGCTCTCTCTTATTCAGCCTCTGGTTAATGGTGCCCAGTGACAAGCTGGCTGAGCGCAGGAAATCCAGAGGGGACAGCTGCTCTTCCTGGTCGGAGCCTTCCAGTCTGCTGCGACCAGCCGAGGGCAGGTCCACGAGGAAAGTCAGGTTGCTGCTGGTAGCGTTGTCAGAATACACGGAAGAAGCTTCTAGACCGCACTGAAACTCGCCTCCTCTTTGTGTCTGGGTCTCGTGGGGAGCCACAGAAAATCCTGGCAGCAGCATGTTAGGATCAAAACGGGATGGGTTCGGAAAGGAACAGCTATTTTTAGCCGATTGTAAAGACAAACGTGAAAGGCCCACGGGCTGCGTGGCATCCAGCCTGGGACAGGCGGTCGGCTTACTATGCAGTTCATACAAAGTGGGTAACAAAGTCAGTTTCCCGCTGATGTTCAGATCCAAACTCTGTGATTTTCTATGAAAAGCTCTCGCCGTGCACCTGCCAGTCACGAGTCGGGGAATAAAAAGCTGGTATTTGGGATCTGAGGTTCTGAGTAGCGCTTGTTCGTTCTTTATCTCGAAATCCGTGGAGCGTACCTCCAGGCAGAGCGCGTCTGTTAGCCTCCCAGGGCTGTCACGGTGTTGGGCCATGTCGAAAAGCCTTAGGTTTCTGCTTTGAGAGCCACCACCTGTCAGCCGGGCGTCGTCGTCCCAACCTGCCTGAACCCTAGGACGTGACAAGTGTTTCGGCGAAGGGCTCATGAGATGGCCTGCCTGTGCTGGGGGACGATCGGTTCGGCTCTTGCAGGGATGTACAGCTGCCGGCTGGCCACAGCAACATTTTGGAGTGCTGACAAAATTAAAGCCCCCTACGCGGGGCCCCACAGAGAGGGCAGTTCAGTTTCCCAACTGTCCACTGGGCCTACAGGTAATAAAGGAACAGAAAGACAATACTTTCATTGTAAAGTAACCAAAGAGAAAAGAGAATGTGTTATATACATATAGAAAAGAAAAAAAAGAGCCGACCACATAAAAGTTTTCTATGACCCAGAAAAGGCTGGCTTTCTGATTAGCAGACAGAATGGCAAGTGGGAATGAACCTTCCAAAAAAAAAAATGAAATAAATAAAGAGATAAACAGCTACAAACTAGAGTGATGGCATACTGCAAACCATTCCCATGTCAACAATACTTCTAAGAATTCCCAAGGAGGACGCCTCAAACGACAGACTGAACATGGATACAGTGGGAAATAGTGGAAAGAAAAATACACTGCAGAACCGGGGAGCTGACTGGTCTCACAGAGCTTCATTTGCAAGTAAAATCTCTACAGAAAAGTGTCTGTTTTGGATACACTGCTGGCATACCAAGCACCGTGGGAGGGAGCGGAAGGGACCAGGAAAAGAAAGAGCTTCCTGGCTATCCACAGACCAACCAGCGGACACCGCACACTCTTGCTGCATTTCCTCGCAGTGAAAACTGATCATGAATCGGCTTAAGATCTCTTTGGCAGGGACACTGGAACATCTGTGGTGTCCTAATACATTCTGTGAACTTCAGGAGTCTGCCGAGCAGAGCTCTGGCACTTTGCCAAGAAGTCATTACAATGCTGGAACGGATGCAAGGCATAGCTGCTAAGCATTAATAAAAAGTAGGCTACTCTGTGAAAAAAATATATATTCTAAAAACCATATTACATTTTTCTAACATGCTTTGAATTTTAAGCAACAACTATGTCTTCTATTAAGTTTTTGCGGGGTGGCGTTCTCACGCCCCTGTAACGGAGTGCTTGTTCAAATCCCAGCTGCTCCACTTCCGATTCTGTTCCTTCTACTGCATCTGGGAGGGCACAGGTGCATGGCCCACACGCCGGTGTCACTGTCCCCAACGGGGAAGCCTGGATGGAGTCCCTGGCTCTTGATGTGCCCTGGCCCAGCCCACATTCTACATTGCAAATGAAAAATAATTTTTTTTTAAAAGCAAGTAAGGCTTTGTGCTTATTCACGTTCATTGAGGATCCTTCAAACTATATTTTTATTTCGGTTATAACATACAGCACTAGTTATCTAATTTGTATTCATTAATATTCATTTACTGGAGAAGTAGAGAGACAGGAAGAATGCATACGTATTGATCCACTCAGCAAATATTTCCAACAGCTAGGACGGAGTCAGGCAAGGCTGGAAACTCAATCCAGCTCTTCCCATGTGGATGGGAAGAATCCAAACACTGGAGCCGTCATCCCTGTCTGAGCATCCCACGGCAGGGTGCTGGAACAAAGCAGCTGAGTGCAGCCATCAAACCCAGGGCCTTGCATCTCTGATGTGACTGTCACCCTTCCCACCCCTGGCTTATTTACTATGTGTGTGCTTATCCATGAATGAATAATGAATCTAGCCACTGGATTTTCCATTTACTCAATGGATACTGTTCTACGTGCTGAGGATATACCAATCAGCAAAATGTGAAAGTCCTTGGCTGCAGGAAGCTTATATTCTTGTATTTGGGGTGCAGGGAGGGACATGGCTAAACAATCAACAAAGTGAGTAAGCTCTGTGTGTGTGTGTATAATTATATATGTGAGTGTGTGTATGTACATATAACACTTATGCCATATATACTTGAAAAAGTTTATGGAACACTGCAATTAAAAGTTAAGTTTATTCTGGGGCAAAAAAATTCTGAAATTGATAACTGCTTTTTTTCATACTATACATTTTCCATGAAGATTCCGAAGGCCCTTCCTGTGCATCTGTATGTTTTACACCAAAATCAACTCGCCTTCTCATTTCATCCTCCATGCATTCTGGAAACATTCTCCTATATTACTCCCCGCGGGTGTCCTTGGGTGGTGTGCATGTCAAACAGGAGTGGCAAGGTGGGGAGTGAGGGGGGGAGGCAGCTGAGAGGCTGACCCGGCAAGGCTTCTTTGAAAATAAGAGCTTTGGAACTCACGTGACAAGCCAGGTGACTGCAAGAACGCTCAAGGAAGGAAAATACTGAGTGTGGTGGCTGAGAGGGGAGGGGAGGGGAGAGAAGGGAAGGGAAAGGAAGGGAAGGGAAGGGAAGGGAAGGGAAGGGAAGGGAAGGGAAGGGAAGGGAAGAAAAGAAGAAAGACAGACAGACGGGGGGAATAAATAAATAAATATAGAAAGAAAGAAAGAAATATAGAAAGGAAGTAAGTCAGTCAGTGCCTGGAGAACTCCAGTAACAGGGAAGTCAGCAGGAAACTAGAATCAAGAGTTACACAAAGGCCCATGAATTAAACAACAGATCCCTGAAAAGCAGCTCTACAATAAAGACGATTTCCATTTTAACTCAGAGATGAAACATTAAAATCTTACTTTTTGTATCAGGCAGTTTATCCGCTCCGGAAGTGCTTCTATGTTCACGTGCCACAAACGACAAATACTCCGATCATCGACCGAATCGCGACAATTTGTTCTGTCAAATAAAAATGAACTGGTTCAGAATGTTTTTTTTTTTTTCACAAATCTCATCTCTAGTGAAAACCTAGAAACACACATTTACAGCCTGGCGTGGTAGCCTAGTGGCTAAAGTCGTCACCTTGCATGCACCGGGATCCCACATGGGCACCAGTTCTGATCCCGGCCGATCATTTACAGCCTTTGCCTACACACTTGAGGAATGTTTTTTTCCTACTTGCTACTTGTTGAACTTTTGACCCAAAGGAGAGTCGAGGTAGTGACTGTACAGTGAACTAAAATATGCCATTGTAGATATCAAAAAGAAGATGGATCAAAAACAAAGTTGGATGGAGAAAGCGGAGCCAAGAGGGAGAATAAGGTGGCAGGAATAACTGTCTTCTTACGTCTGTACTGGGAGAGACATGAAAGCTATCCACCTTATATAAACAAAATACTTGAAATATTACAAGATATCTGATAACAATATGATTACATTATTTGTCTATGCTAACTGATCGAAATAGATCACTATTCTAGCCTGAAAGTCCTCGCTCTGCAAGAGCCAGGATCCCATATGGGCGCTGGTTCTAATCTCGGGAGCCCCTCTTCCCAACCAGCTCCTTGCTTGTGGCCCGGGAAAGCAGTTGAGGATGGCCCAAAGCTTTGGGACCTTGTACCTGCTTGGGAGACCCGGAAGAGGTTCCTGGCTCCTGGCTTTGGATTGGCTCAGCTCCAGCCATTGCGGTCGCTTTGGGAGTGAACCATCGGATGGAAGATCTTCTCTGTCTCTCCTCCTCTCTGTATATCTGACTATCCAATAAAAATAAAATAAATCTTAAAAAAAAAAAACTACCAGTAAAGTTAGTCAATAGAACAAAGTCCAGGGTCATTCGTGGCAACTTCTCTCAGCTTTCAAGGCTCTTTTGTTTGATTTCTACAAATGACAGAATAAAGCCAATGCCGTATTTACTATTCAATTGCTCACCCAACGTAGCAGAGTATGGAAGAAATAAATCTTAAAAAAAAAAATATAGGCACGAATGCCATGGTTTTAATAAATATTTTTTAAAAAGAAGAGGCAACAAGATCCACACACAAAGTTGCGGGATGATTCACTTACATCTAGAAAGATCTACAGACAAATCATCTCCATCTGACTGCAGCACGGTGGGAGCAGAGCCTGCGCCCCCAGCTGTACCCCTGTACCATGGACAGGCCATTTGCAGCTGCTCCACTTCCAGTTCAGCTTCCTGCTAATATGCCCCGGGAGCTGCGGAAGACTGTGTGAGCATTTGGGCCCTGCTGCCTGGTGGAAGATCCAGAGGGAGTCTTGGCCTTGAAGCTCCTGGCTCCTGGCTTTGGATCAGCTCAGCTCCTGCCATTGTGGGTATCTGGAGACAGAAATGGTAGATGGAAGATCTCTCTCTCTCTCTGCCTTTCAAATAATAATTTTAAAAATCTTTTTAAAAAAATTCTGCCTTCAAATAATAAAGTAAATCTTTAAAAATAACTTTAAAGGATATGAGTCAGTTTGCACAAGCAAGGAAGCAATCGCAAAGCAATGCAAAGCCTTCACCTAACACTAAACTAACGAGGAAAAATAAAACCCAAAATGAGAAGAATCGTTTTAGTAGCATTAAAGAAGTTTTCTATACAGGTTTTTCATGGCTTAAATTTATCTTGGGGGAAAGGACAAAGAATAAAAAAAAAAAATCAGTCAATTTCACATAATGCTCTCCGGAAAAAAATGTCAAAATGTTTGCAAATGAAGTAATTTGTTCCAGCAGCAGGGGGCGCCAGTGCATTGATATTCTGTGTTTTTAAGGGCAGAAAATGGTTTCAGTCTTGTACAATATCACTAAATATTAAAATTATAAGCTTGATGCATAATCTTATGTACTCTCTAGATTTTTCAACTGTATGGACTGAATTAAACGTGAACAATCATAATTTAATAACATTATGTAACCTTTTGAAAGATAGTAAATATCTGGTACCTCCACTATAACACATATTATATTCCCATAGCTAATCCAGTAAAAGCGAGCTTATTACATTATCTAACTAACGCAACTATAAACATCACAGCAAAGAGTATGGAACCGAATTTAATCTATGCCAGCATTACTGTTTTAGAGTGTTGGAGATATAAAAAATCCAAATTCTACTAGACCTTGCCATTTTTTAAATTTGTATTTGGAGGGCACTTCAAGGGCAAAATCATTTTTATAATCAAAGGCTCATAAAAGAATGTTTTAAGAATAAAGAAACAAGTTCACTTAAGACCAGTTGAACTAACTGTATCCAATCTTGCTGCCTTTCTCATTATACGCAAATCATCTCTTTATATGAGAACCAAAATGATTTCTTCCAAATTCACCGGGCATGCCACCTCTTTTGGTGACTTCCCAGCTCTTAGGCTAAAGATCAAAGTCTTTCACTTACAAAGCTGTAAATAATCTGACCAACGCCCTTTCTAAATTCAAACCTTGCCAAACTTGCTCTTGGTCCCTGATCGCAACACACAGCTCTATCTCTCTCTCTCTCTCTTTCTCTCTCTCTCTCTCTCTTTCATGGACCCTGCTGTTCCGGCCCTATTTATTCATCAATATCACCTTTGCATAAGTTACTAAACAGCCAAAACCCAACCATCGGTTCCCAATTTCTTCCACCTGTGGAATCAGGCGCCTGTAGCCATAACTCTTAATGACTCTCAGGTTTCACGTGTGGCCCTTACGCCGGGTCCCTCCGTAGGGTTGCGCGCTCTCTGCGCATGTCAGAAGGCAATCTCCAGAAGGGTACAGTAGACAACCTGCACAGTCCTCTGGACCTTCCTGGGACATTCAGCTTAAACAATCAACCCTTTCCTTCCTGTTGGATGTGTGCTGGGTGATTTCCACAACACTGTACCTGGGCTTTTATTCTTTTTTCTCCCACTCAAGACCCTCTCATGTCCCGTCTACCCTGCAGGTGTGTCCCCAGGCCCTTGTCCCTCATGCCCTGTTCACACACTGCAGGGTGGGCTCTCCAGCAGCTTCACTCCCCGCGGGCGCGAGGATGCTCACACAGCTACACCTTTACTTCAGGTCTCTGTTCTGAATCCAACGTTCACGGAACCAATAGCCTCCCACGTTATCTGAATGTTCTATAGACTATGTGAAGTTGTATATCAAGACACGAGCTAAAACCAAAGCTGGGGGCATTTATCTCTACAATATGAACATAATTTTGATTTTTTTAATGAGTTCTCCATGTTACACTTCCGTTTGCGGTTTTGGGTTCTGGTCCGTGTTTCACACATTATCAGTCCCAACAGGCAGACCAGAAGCCCCTATGTCCCTGTGGACTGTGTAGACCGTGTCTGAACTCCTTGCCTGATGCTACACAGCAAGCCAGTGGCTGGCAACCTAAAGCCCCACCCGCCCAGACCCCTTAGAGCTCAAGTTGCACACAGGACCACGCTTTTGTTAAGGTGCTTATACTCAGTCACTATTATGAAGGCGGAATTGATGATTTTATCATCATCACCATCATCATCATCATCATCGCATAGCAAGCTCGTCTTTACTCTTTACTCTTCAGCAGGTCCCAGCAATTTCAGTGTCTAACAGGGCTCTTCCTGGGGCCGGGAGATGAAGGCGGACAGTATATTTCTACTTCCTAGGGACAGTAGGAGTCCAGGAGCGGGGTCCTAGAGTCAACGGCCATGGACATTTGTCACCGGGTTCCTAAACCTCTCCGTCGCTCTGAGGAACCCTGCGCGTCTGCCTGGCGTGGGGAAGGCAGGATGCGAGGACGAGGACCATCGAGGGCCACGCGAATGGACCACAACCCCTGGAAGTGCTCTTGTTCAGGAAATATGTGTGCTTGTCGGATGAGTTTGATCACTCTGTTGGCATGGTGATGAACTAGCACCCCAGAGGAATCCAAGGCAGAGGAGCCTGCGAGGAGGTGGGGCAACGGACAGGCGCTGGAGTCCCACCGTTAATCCAGCTGCAGCGGAACTGCTTAGCAGCAGGGCCAACTGGGCTGGGTGACCTAAGCTCCTGCATCGGAATCTCCCTCACTGTGAAATGCTGACCTTCAACAAAGAACTGTCGTAAGGAACGACTCGTAAAGTGTTTAAAGTAATTCCCAACCAACACGTACATAAAAAGAGTCTCTGTGCCACCATGTAATAGGAAAATGAAAATAAAGTTGATGTATCACCGTACATGTCTTTCAGAACGGCTAGAGTTACAAAGGCTGAAGGGCCGGACGACAGGCAAGGATGGGAGCAACTGAATTTTTATGTTAATTCGACGGGAAGTAAACATTTACCCCGCAAAGCTGTTCTCTATTTCTAATAAAATGAGATTAAAAACAAGAAAACCTAATTACGGGAAAATTTTTGCCAGATTTTTAATGTTTATTTTATTCATAACATTAAACTGTGATGAGTGCAAAAACTGACCAGCAGAAAGCAACAAATGGTGGTACATGCATAACTGACAGACTATTCAGCAATAAAAAAAAAGAAGCAACAAACAACAGATATGTTGCAAACACAAATGACTCCCTAAAACATTAGGCTGAAGAAATAAGTGAGGAATAAAGCAGCACGTAGCGTGGTATTCCTTCGGACGAGCACCAGAAAAGGCAAAACCGGTCTATGGCTGCCATGCCTCGGGACGCTGGCAGCCTTCTCAGGGGCCGTGCACCCGCTGGAAGAGCAAGACGCTTTCCTAGGGCAGGGAGCAGGTGCCAAGCCTGGCAGGTGAGGCGCCTCCGTTGCACAGTAGAGTGCCTACGTTCCATTCCTGGCTCCAGTTTTTGACCTCAGCTTTCTGTTCATGACGGGCCAGGGAGACAGGAGTCCTTGTTGGAGACTTGGGGCTGCTGCCACCTCAAAGCCAGAGCGGCACGGTGCCCGTGGTTCCTGACTTCAGCCTGGTCTGATCCTGGCTCTTGGGGCCATTTCAAAACAGCTGATGGGGCGCCCTCTGTCCCCTTGTCCCCCTCCTGTCTCTCTTCCCC